TCAATCCGATTACCCAAGAATGAGATAACTTACAGAATCAAGTTAATCAAATTATCTAAGAACGATATAACTTATGAAATCAAGTTAATCGACTTACACAAGAGCATAACAATTATCAGAATGGTCTTACTTTGATGACTACAGCTTATAATAATGAAAGGGAGAACATCGTCACTAGTGGTTCTCATATCGTAATAAAGATAGACGTGTTGATGAATTAATTCGAGAAAAGTTCGCTATTTAATTATTATTACAGCAATGCCATATCAATAATAGGGATTTACAACAAGGTATGATATGCGAGGGCATTTGTGGTATAATATTATCTTGGCATTAGAAGAACAATCTAAACTTAGGCATGTTTTTAAAGTTTTGTATAGATTAAAAAACTATCGATTAAAATAAGAATTGCAAAGATGTCAGGCAGATAAAGGATTATTAGAATATAATAAAGATTGGCTTTTTGATAGATATTACAATAAATTCAAAGATCAGAAGGCAAGTCACATCAAGTGGAAAAATAGAGAGCATAATTCACAGCAATTAATTTTAAATTTATAAGCCCAAATTTTATTACTACAGAATAATCTACTAAATATGGCAGAAGCTAGACATTTACTAGTATTAAAATTAATAAAACTGGCTATTGCAAATTTCTCACCTTGTATTGGTCAAGAACCTCCTGATAATTATTTTGATAAGATTATACAATCATGGGCATTTGCTGAGGGATATATGACAGTTCTTGAAAATGCAAATGCAGGAGATTTCAATGATGCGGTCAAGTGTACTATCTTAAAATCTAAGATGGCTGGAAAATATGCTCCAGTACCAGCTAATGATCCATATATTGTTGGTAATCCTCCATTAATACTCCAGCAACTTTGAGGGCATGGGCAAGAACAAAATATCAATGAGAAACAGTAGGAACCAAACAATCTGCAATTCAAGGATTAACTCAAGAAAGATTTCAACCTTTTGATACTCCGAATACCTATGAAACTAGAATTCGACCTCTTTTGTTAGGTGTACCCAATAATGATGCTCAAGTCTTGAGATCTATTAAAAGTCAATTATCAGGTGAGCTTTTCACTTGGATGAGGTCTGATGCTCCAGTAGGTATTAATGAATTTTTTATTGTATTAAAAAATATATAGTTAGAACGTACTCCAAACCTGTATGGAGGATCAAATTTTGATCAAGTCTCAGCTATTAGGCCAGAAGCTAGCTTTTCAGTTAACATATTACCTACGATTTCTCAGCCAGAAATCAGCTCATGCTAATTACAAAATAAATCTATGATACCGGTACAATCTCAACAGAAATGATCTAATTCCGATGATTATCCTAGAGTACCAGATAAATATATGCCAGAAAGACCTCCAGATGGGTATGCGTAAATTCTGAAAGATTTATTCATGCTGATATCATAAATCCAATTCCTTCAACCAGTCAAATTATGGAATCTATAGCCAATGATCTTTATAAAAAATTGTCTGATATGTTTTCAGTGAAACTGGTGCAATCGAAGAATAAAGATACCAGTACTGATGATATAGATTAAATTACTAAAGGTATGTCAAAATTATCATTAAATTTAGCAAAAATGGCAAAAGAGGTTAATGCTGTTAAGAAATCATCTCAACATCGTTGTTCAAATTGCAATAGAACCCGACATAATTCTCGCAAGTGCCCTAGAAAGAAATCTAAAAATTCCAAGAGATCTAGCAAAAATAAAAAAGGTAAGGTTAATACAGCTACCAATGATTCTGGTTCAGATACAAGCTCTTCTGATAATTCTAATTCCGGAACAGAATCTGGAGTATATTCAAGTTCTGAAGAGTCTGAGACTGAATCCAATCATAGTTATGATGTAAATATTTCCAATACAAAAAAAAAAAACAAGTAAAGCGAAAGAGTAATTCATCCTCTAAAAAGAAGTCTAGTTCAAAGAAGAGACAGAGTCTCGAATCTTCGATTCAACGTACTTCACAAAAATCACAAAAGAAATCAGGTACGATTATTGACTTACAGATCCGAAAAATTATTCTAGATATGTTTAATGATCCAGAGGTTATAGAAACAATTAGAAACAATATTAATAACACGTATTTATCTGTTACAAAACCTGATTTTATGAATTATCAAAATCCAGCTTCAGAAATATCTGATTCTGATGGGGAGGATGAAATGCTAGACGATCCTATGGAGATAGATTTCGTCCATCGGAAAGAACCGGTAATTAGTATTGCAACTATACCAGTTAAAATCAAACGCTTAAAAATTCCGACACTGATACTAGATAGTGGCACTGAACTTGCAATCGTATCAGAAGATATTGTTAAATGTGTAGGCGGGAAAATAGATACGTCAGAAAAATATGATTTAAGTGGTGTTGCTACTGTTCCAACAGAATCTGTTGGTATTACTCACAATTTACCAATAACATTTTCTCTAGGTTTTACTATACGTGAAGATTTTGTAGTTGTACGAGTTCCCAAACTGACATTAATATTCCCAAATTCACTTCTCAAGAAATACAAATGTGCTGTATATTGGGGTAACGATAAAATGAAGATTCATTATAATGGAGAAGATTTTATTATTCTGGTTACTATACACAAAGTCAAGAATAAGCTCGAAGTAAATTGTGCTACCGCATCTCAGGATGATAAGCCTTTGATATCTGATCAAATTTTTCAAGAGACAGATAGTAATGAGGGTGGTAATAATCCATTGGAGGAATGGCATGCTCCTGCGGGTTTTAGCTCAAATTATGACAATTCAACTTTAAAAAAGAATGCGTAAATTGTGAGAATAAGTCAAACCATGAAAAAGAACTTGAAAAGGCATTATTCGCTAGTATTCAATCAGTTTCTGAAATAATTGTATATTATAACGATTTGTGCGATCGATATGTGTCAGAGACACTAGTTCCGCTATAAAACAACACATTGATTTTATACTTACGAATCTAAAGAACTGATAATTTAGAGGCAAGAGTACGACCACTCGCTCTAATCTTTTCTATATCTTTTTGGTTTCTCTTATGTAATTCCAAAACATCTTCAGTCTCTTGCGAGGTAACAGGTGGTGTAGTTTCTTTTTTTTGCTTCCGAAATTCTGCCTATCTTTTCTGTCTTACAGAGTGAGGATGTTACCGCATCTAGATCTTTATTAATAAAAGGTTGATTAGAAATGCGAGTAGACTTGGATTTTAATTTCCTCTTTTTTTTTTTCTCCCACAACTACAGATATTGGAATATCATTCCCTGGATTGGCTAAAGATGAATTCCAAGTGTTTGTACAAACCTCTTTCCCTTTCCATATCCGATAAAAACGGGTATTTGACATAGGGTATTTGTCTCTAAAACATATCTAGAGGTTTGGATTTTACATCTTTATATCGCATAATATAATCATAGTCTGTCGGTGATAGTTTGACTGCATCAGATCGCATGGTTTTGTTAATGTATTTATAGTGTCAGTAATATCGATAATATAAAAAAATTATTATCAGTAATATATAAAATCATTATCAATAATATCGGTAATATCAGTAATATCAGTAATATCGGTAATATATAAAAATCATTATCAATAATATCAGTAATATCAGTAATATATAAAAAATCATTATCAATAATATCGGTAGTATCACTAGTATTGGTAATATTGGTAAACCAAAAATATATAATATATCTATTACTTGGCCTTTATTTTTTTTTAATATACAGTATGAGAAAAATGATATGGCCAATGTACGTACATTACGAAACACCAAGAACACGGAATCCAAAAGAATACAAGGGCAGGGGTATAGGCTTGGTAGTACCCGCGAGCAAGAACTCGAGGAGGCATTACGTGATAGTATCAAGTCCAATTCTGAAATTACTAGTGAATATAAAAATATGCAAGTGGTATATTCGAATCATAGCATAAATACCAATAAGGAGAATGATCAATTACGTTGCAATAATGAGAAACTCTCCAAGTATGTATATCAACTTATAGATGAGGTTAAGCAATTACGCTCAAAGATAGATACTCTCAAATCCCGCATCACTGGTAAAGATCTTTCACTTAGTAAATTCAAGGACGAGATTCGTACAAAATCCAATGAAATGAAAGATTTCTTATCTAAGATGGAGGTATCAACTTTGATGAAAGTATTTTTAGTAATAACTATATATTATATCGTATACTTGAAAAATATATAATATAAACTTGGCTGATTGCGCTGCATTTTCGTGTGGGCCTCCATGTATTAAATGATTTGTTAGTGCGCCGCAGCATTGCGTGGGCAGCTAGTAGAAATGAATGCGCTATATCTGTGCACGGGCCTTTTGTAGTTATGAAGAATTGTACGCTACACCGTTGCGTGTGCCACTAGGTGTTGCTTGTAAGTTATCAGCGATTCTCAAAATATTTGTTCAGATTTAGTTAATAGCATATTATTATATGTAAGGACGGAAATTGACGCTGCAAGTGGCGCGGCGGGACATTATTCCGAATAATGTAATGATGTCCACATAGATTCAACAATTAAATCATTACTCACAATGTATCTGTAAATTTTCAGTGTGTTTTTTTTTTTCTTTCAAGACAATGAACAAGTTTAAATTCTATAGGCAAGTAAACGCTCTTGATAGCTTATGATTTTTTAGTGAAATACGATTAGATAAGTTCAAAGCCATATACAGTTCATGCCGAATTTCCTATTATTCTTTTGTTTTTTTTTTTTGTTTTTTTTTTTTTTTTTATTTTTATTTTTTTAATTTTATTTTATTTTAATTCGCTTATTTTTGAGATAGATAGGATGAGACAGATATTTTATAAGTATACAAAGTAAAAGTATAATATATGCAAGCATAATGTTTTGACATCCCATGATTTTAATTTCCTCATTTGAACTTACTCTTGATAAAAGAAATCGCGTACAAATATGTATAAGTGAAACAATAGTAGAAATAAGCCATTTACAAGTTCATATCTTGCAATTAATCTGAATCGGATTTCTCTTTCTCTTCACACTGAGCAATAGGGTTGTTATTAAGTCCCGTGTATAAAAATGCAGTATGCAAACTGCTTTGATGAGTGGCCATCGTAGTATATTGCGAATCAAAGAAGCTCTTGGATATTTCTTTTTTCCAGATAGTTTTACCATTGTGAATATCAATTGTGTACAAGTTGTTTCCGCATCCAACTAGAATAACATCAGGGGATGAGGTGTCCAATATGATGGATGGCAATGTATTACCACACCCGCTTAAACGACTTTCCCAGAGCTTTTCTCCAGATCCCGGTTCAAATCCGTATACTTCTCCGTGAGCAGCAGCTACAACGACAGTGCGTTGGTATTCATACGACGAGGAGGAATTGCGAATGGTCACAGACACTGATACTTCTCGGTGACCTGTTCCTGATATCGATTGTTTCCAAATTCTCTCACCGTTAACCAGCTTCAAAGCGTATACACGGTTTCCCTTACCAACAAAAACCTTATCTCCAGATATGAATACGGAACATGTACCGCTTCCGCCCACTTCAGTTTTCCATGTTTGAGAGCCATCTCCTCTGTTGATAGCATATATTTTATATTCCGTAGCAAAAACTAAAATATTTTCTAGCGGAGTTACCATTCTTTTACAAAATTTACGTATTGCACTGTACGTATACAAATATATTGTGATTGTACTTGCGAACTTTTTTGTGGCACTTGTGTTATGAATCAATTTTTTTTTAACCAATAGATTATGTGAATGATCCGGAGTTTTTTTTTACAGTTACGTAATTAGTCTCGCAAATCCTCCTTATACGTACACACTCCTTGGCCAAAAGTTTTTAGAATCATCTAAATAATAGTAATTAATTAATTCATTATTAATAGTATAATATAAAATTACAATTAAAATATAAGCTATTGCATATTTACTGTAATTAATATTTTTTAAAACCACAACTGGTATTAGATGCATGTATATTTTATAAAGAAATTTCCTAAAAACTCGAACATATGTCCATCTAACAGACATCAATGATTTCATATATATTTCTATATACATGCAAATTAATAATAACCTATCGTGACTGATCTATATATAGTATAGAACGTTCAAAATTGGAAAAATATTAATATCATTTAATTGATTGTATATAAATTTAATAAAATTATTGAACTATTGTAAAAATTTAAAATATTATTTATAAGTACAAATATTTACAAAAAAAAAAATTTTTTTTTTTTGGAGTTCAAATTTTAATCTAAAAAGATAAATTTAGATATACTTAAAATAGTCTTTATATACAATTTCATCAAAATTTAATTAAATAGTATAAAAATTTAATAAATTATTTTTAAAAACAAAAGAATAAAAAATATATAATTAATTATTCATTTATTTTTTAATTTTTTTTTACAGCTGGAAAAATCATGTCATGTAGTTTTTATTTAATCATTAATATCATCTTATATATATAAATTTAATCGTAAAAAAATATATTTATAATAGAAAAACAACTAATGACTTAGTATTTTAACAAACCTTTTGACTTGCTACAATTCATCCAAGAGTAAATAATAGCATATTATGACTTCATTAATATTAATACTTACAGAAAATATTAAGTTAAGGAAATATTCATTTTACAAAATATTTTTTATATATAATTAGTTAGTTTTATATACAAGTATTGATAAATATCTTATGAATTTCTGTTCTCTTGTAATGATACTTAATTGGGATGTTCTTTATAATTTCTTGTTCCTAGTGATTTCTTGTTTATTTCCACTTCATCTTTTTAAAGATTTCCTAAACTTTCTCCTATTTTATCATCAGTTTATACTTTAGCCTTCAAATTTCTATCTTATATTGTCAAAACTATACAATAACTATCTTCAATATTATTTTTATTATTTTTTCATCACCTGTGATTTCCTCTATAATTTGTCTCTTCTTGTAAATATTAATTTCTCTAATAATATTAATTCATGTTACCTTATTTAATCCACTTAATTCTTTTATTGTTATTATTGATTTGAGAAACCACTTCCATCTATTTTATATGAATTCAATTTATTTATTATTATTGACTCTGATCATATATTTCTCAATAAAAAAGATATATATTTCTTTATTAGTCTTATCCTATTCAGTTTATAGGTAAAGGGATAAAGATTTCTTTATTTATAAATTTTACAAATTATATAAATTAAGTTTTTGTATAAATATAGTTTTCATACTATATATTTATATTTATCAATATGAGATATTCATTTTTTTATATTTTTCAATAAAAAGATTTATTTCTATAGTTACTTTAGTCAGTTTTAAGTGACATAACTTTGAATGATATTAAAGTTTACATAATAATATTTCAATCTATCTCCTTAAACTTTTGACCTATAAGCTATTTCCAAGTTCATTTCAAAATTCTTTATTTGCTTGTTTATATATAGTAGTTTAGAAAAAAATCTTTTCTGATGTTTTTAAGAGAAGATTTACAAATGGTTAATTCTACTTTTATACTATTATATTACCAGTAGAATTCAGCTCCTGAATCCTAATAATATTCTTGTATTCGTCTATTAGTATAATTATTGCTTGTCTATTTATTAATTCATTTTCTTGATTTTCTAAGTAATCTTTTATCTTGATTCACCTAATCTTAATTTTCTATATTGATATTATCTTATATATTGTGTTAATGAAATTTCTGTTTACTTTGATTTTTAATTCTATCCATCTTGATTACTTTTTTTATTATGTTAATAGAACCTTAACTATTTATAATAATATTTATCTTTTTATTTGCATTTACTATGCTAATTGCTATTAGTATTGCTATTTAGTTTTATTCTAATAAAGAATAGATGTTCTGAGTTTTTGTTTAGAAGGTAGTAATTTCAATTCTTGACCTCATTGGAATTACTGTATCTATATATTCTTATTTTACTATTAAAATATTACTTTGAAAGAATTATTTGTAAATATTTACAAATTGTCTTGAAAAATAATTTTTTGTATAATTTACTATAATTTTAAGATTGTTCTTGTGAGAAAATTAAGTCTTTTTTGAATTAAAATCTTTGTAGTTAATATTAGATCAAAGTATATTGTTAATAGGATATATTTGGTGACTGTACATTGATTTTCCTTAGTACAAGCTCTATGTCTTATGAAAGGATTAAAGTCTATTAATTGAAAATTACCTTATTCTAGTTTCTTGTTGATTTAAGATATATTTCTTAATATTCTTTTGAACCTTTATTTTTATTGAGTATGTTAAGTATTAGATTCTTTTGTATTGTTATTGATTATTATAATGACTTTTAAGTTCTATATTGTTAAAGAAGCAATCTTTGCACTTGAAAACTAGTGATATCAGATTATTTCTAATTATATAGTTAGCTAGGATAGACTGGCTATTAAGGATTTTCTTTTTTCTTATTATTACTATTAGTAGATCTTTTTTTGTTACTAGATATTTAATTGTTATTTATTATTGGTAAAAAAGCATTAAAAAAATGGATCTTTAAAGTATTTAGTATATAAAATTTCACAGATCACTTATATTCTTTTTTGAGGAACAAAATTCATAGTTTTTCACTTTAATAGGAACAAAGGTCAAAAAATACTATAAATCAATAATTTGAATAATAGAAAACAACTATGGATAAATTTTTTATAATTATTAATTTAAAAATTTTAATGTTTCCGAGTAAGGGACATTTGACTTTTGTCTTTGTTTCCTTCGTTAGGGATCTATCTTTAGCACTAGTATATTAAAATAAAAACTATTTATACTGGAGCTGCTATTATTGTATTTTCTGAAAGATATTGATTATTTACTATTTTTTACTTATATATTACTTAAATCAATTAATAGTTCTTTCAGCTCTTTATATTATAGAGAAGTTCTATTTTGTTTAATTAGTCTGGACTCTTCTACTATCAAAAGAGAAATCTTATATTACTATTATTGAGCAGCTGATCATAGAATAGAATTCCTTTGTATTTGAATAAGTTTTTATATTTGTTATACCATTCCTTTGAATCTATTTCTCTGATTTTTATTTTCTTATTTTTGACCAATTTTCCAAACCATGTATATTTTATTAAAGTGGAAGTGATTTTTTGAATTTTCAATATATTTAGAATTTTATTTGTTAGATTTTTTTTTCTTAGTCTAGAAGTATAACTTATCTATTAGAATTGAAGTATTGGATCAATATTCATTTTGGAGATACTATAGTCTAATTTGTATAGTTGTTCTATCCAATTTATAATTATTTAATTTAATCTATAAATTAAATTCTTTCTATGTATAAGGATCTATCTATTTTAAAGATTGAAAAGTTTGTATCAAAGTCAAAGTAAATAATACAATTTAGAGTTATTGAAGTTAATCCAGCTTTATATTTGAAGTTCTTATTTGTCTTGCTACTTATTTTATTACACTCTTTTTTAGATAGGATCAGATTATTTAATAAGTATTCAATTTCTGGAAAAAGTATGTAATTGATTATATATTGTATCTATTTATCTGTAATCTTCTTCCATATCAGAATTCTGATAGTAATTTCTATATTCTCTTTAATAATATTTTTCTAATTTGTTTTTTTTTCCTTCTTCTAATATCTACATTCTCAGAATTCTTGTTGCTTCATTATACTATAATAGTTTTTTTTTTTTAAACTGGATGGCTTACACCTTGTTTATTAGATATTGTTGTGAGTATGTACAAATTTATTTTATACAAATTTAACTCTC